AAAAAAGACCAGTCCCTAACCAAAAACGACCAGCCCCTAACCCCCTCTCAGAAAGGCCCCCCTTTCCTCGAGCGTGCTTCAAATAAGTGAGCCCCCTGGGGAAGATTTAATTTACAGTAAATGACTGACAATTAAGGTTTTAAAATTGTTTATAGTGGAAAAATTCCTCAAGAGACAAGTCACCAGTTTACAAGAATACAGATCGGCAGGAATTTGTACGAGAAAAGGTTTGTTTCTTGAATAGTGAAATAATTAAACAATGAAGTGTAGTGATTGCTTGTAAATCTTTATTACAGCTAAGAGACCTTTGAAAACTCTTCAGATTGTTAAGAAAAATACCTCCCTTACAGATACTCAATCTTAATCATAACTATAACAAAATTCTCAAATCTGATTGGCTATCAACTGCCCTGATTTCAGCACTAATAGGACAGTGTAATAGGACAGTACGCGTCACGCCTAAGTTATTACAGATAGCTTTTTTTCTCTACTAGCAAAAAAACTCTCGGAATGACTTTTTTTTTTAAATTTAAAAAAGCATAAAATATTATAAGTTTTGTTATAGTTATGATTAATGGGTATCAGAAATTCGTGTCGTCCAATTCGGTCTGTAATCTGGGTGAGGCACCAGAAAGCAACTGGCTAAAGTGAACATTGATGGTCTTAGTGTCGGTGAGAGCATTATAGCTCCCGTAACTTCAGTTAGGAACTTGGGATCATAGTTTGATCAGAACCTGAGTATGATACCACACATTAATAATATATGTAATGTAGTGAGGGTAACGCTAGACAGTTACAATAGGAACTGATAAACTGATTGTTTTCTTAATTCTCATTTTAGGTGCAGAGGTTTATGAGCGATTGAACAAACATCGTGAAGACGACAAAACACGCAGAAAATTGTTGGATGACGCTCTTGTTCACATTCAGGTAATACCGGCGACGGCGCCGGAACCATGGGAGTTTGAGAATTTGATCTAACTTCAGCTGTCTTACTTTATGAATATGTCTCTTACAGGACGAGAAAGCTTGTCAAGCATGGCTACACAGACAGGCTCTCATGTAAGTCACACATAAATGAAGGGTTCAGTTATGGGGTGAAATACAAAGATTTAGTTTTATCAACTTGCCATGGTGGGATCAAAGAGTCTCTTACCCAGTCGCTCATAGTCTCGAAACGTTACGCTCCCTTGGGAAGAAGCGTTGCGTGACAAAACAAACAAGGTCCTTGATGGAGACTAGGATAAAGAAGCCGGCGTTAAAAAGCCCTTCCTCTTCGTTAGAGAGAATCAGAGGTTTGTAGGTCGTGTGCGGTTTATACCGCCGGATTTTGAAGCTTTGTCATGAGCGGGAACATGGTAACGTGAAAATGTCTAATGTAGTCACTGGATTAACTCTCATAGTCTTTCGGGTAACTCTCGGACGAAACAAGTACGCTAGTGATGCATTGAGATGTTTCCGACACGTTTGTAAATGTTGTCTTGTTTTTTTTTTTTGGCGGTTACCAGTTAGAATGTAAGGGTCACTTGATCAAGCTGGCAGGTGAATGCAAAGGAATACCCTTTTATCTCAAACAGATCGTTAAGTCTCCGTAGTAAATCATAAATGGCGTTGCTAGAATAGGCAATTTTCCCTTCTGTGCTAATGGATTTGCATCAAAATTGTCTACCTTTCTTAAGGGAAACGGTGGTTTCAGTCCTGACTAAACATGATTACTTTAACTGGAGTACTCGAGCACGCTATTCGCTCCAGCGTAGAAACAAGAAAGATAATCCTTTATAAACCTTTATAGTATAAACACTCCTCTAGAGAATGGAATTGACTGTTATTCACTGTTGTCTTAAAAGCTTTTTGAACATTCTTTTTACAGAGATTCAGGGCAGAGCTTAGCTCCCATACCTCTTCCCAGTTTGGGTAAGTTTTCGTAATTATGCTAATTATGCCATTCGCAGGGCTTCGGCGTTTATGTTCTTCACGTGGCTATTTCAAGAGAAGAATTTAGTATCCGAAAGTATCCGTTTTTCCAATCTCAGAGCCAGAAACCTATGGCTTTTTTTATTGCCATTTTTCATTCGGCAATAAAAATTTATGGAAGCATTACATTGATAGGAAAGTGCTTAAGCTTTTCCGACCCTCAGGATACCATGCTAAATTAGTGCCCCACGGCGGTTTGAGGCCGTCTGTTAAGGGTGCGACAAAATAGCTCGACCAACGATTGGTCGGACCCCTTGTGGAGTCTACATGAGTCGTTGTTCCCCTAATCACCAGACTGTAAGCTTATGCTACATCTTGTAGGCGTCATGAGGTGTCCATCCTCCTACTGGTTGACGTTACGTGAGAACGGATAAGTTGTTGGACAGGCGATGAGCGCAAATTCGTTCTTCGTTACCATGACAACTCAAATGTTTTGTTCGTTGTGAACCAGGATTACCCTTTGCTAACCAGGTTTCGAACGTCTTGGCCCAGTTTGTTTTAGCAAAACGCAGTTGTTTGCGGAAGCACCGAGAGCTTTTGATTCTTTAAATAAAGAGCCTCCTGAAAATTCATCTCCTACCTGTGACAAAAGTTTGTTATGGCCTTAAACAGGTCCCTGCTTAGAACTAAGCGTTGTTTATTTTTTTTTTCCGCTATTGAAGGTCGTAAGCCTGCGGCTCGGTTGGACATCAGTGGCACTCCAGGCGTGGAACAACTTCGACCAATGGAAAGAGAGGTACGTTAATCATAAGAGTGGAGATGGGTGTGAAGGCTATTGGATGTGTGAACGGAGAGGAGAGAGGGTGAGGATAAGGATATTAAGGTAACAGGAAGGTGGAACGTGCTAGATCACGAAACATTCGAAAATAGGAAGAAGACTACCTACTTTCTTAGATGTATCATCATCATCGTTATCGTCATAAGTATTATCATCATCATCGTCATCAGCATTTAATTTTTTTTGTATAAAGCATGTTATACATATAAGACAGCTTTAAAGCTAATGTAGACCTGCTACAGCGGTACACACATAGACTCACTCTTGTTTAAGATTGACCACACTACCTATTAGGCGGTATTTACGTCCCCTACTCTTTAAGAACAGCTTTGTGGGTTCTTTTACGTCCCACAAGAATCAGAGCAGTGAACGATTTGTGACAGTAGGACAAGGGTTTTTCGTACTTATTCGAGAAGACTGGAATGTCTAATCGTTTTTAGAACAAAGGCAGCGCATTCTCCTCGCTTATTTAAAGACCCCAGCTGAGTGTAGGTCCGGCCGGGATTGGACCCGCGACCTCCCGCTTGGTTCTTTTGAGGTAACCGCGCGGAAGTTAGCTTTCGTTTAAGAGGGTAGTCAATCCTGCTCCAGGAAAGAAGAATCGAAGTGGTAATCGCGAATTAAGAACTTCTTTTTAACTGCTACACGTAGCCGACCGTTTTAGTCTCTGTACGTTGTCTCCCCATTCATTAATGTCTTATTTGCCCTTCTCTTCTCCCTTCGTACAGTTATGTAGCAATTTGCGGTTGATGCCTCAAGATTACCAGAGCTACAAATCTACCCTAATAAAGGAATACGAGAAGCAGGGATTCCTGAGACTCGCCCAAGCCCGCACACTCATCCGCATTGATGTCAACAAGACTAGAAAGATGTATAACTTCTTTTTAGAGCAAGGCTGGATTAAACAACCCGATGGATAACTCAGAAAGTAAAACGATTTTGGAGTAATTTTTTTCGAGAATCACGGTAACTTTTCGTACCACAATTGTTGTTAAAATCGATTTCCCGTCAAAAATGCAACAACCGTTTACGAAAGGGCATCGGCATCGCAGTGATATTCTTCGGTTTTCAATATGCATAGCCATATGTAAAAACTTTTTGAAAGTTCTAAACATGTACTTGTGCATTTAAACACGGCCTTGTACTGCAAAAGTGGACATAGTAAAGAACAGTAAAAGCCGTTCATAAGACCCCAACTCAGTATTAATAAGCTGTGCGTGGAGGTTTTAGTTTAAAACCCTGTAAAAACGTGTCGGGCTAATATCTGCTGATTTAGTCTCCCATCTGTTCTATCCCTTTCATATTGATTCATACATTAACTGAAATCGTTAAATTTAAGATTCCTGTAAATTCCTCGCAGTTATAGCTGGAGGCAGTTCCTACCCCTTTTCCTCGTGCTGTTAACCTGCGATCAGGCGATTGCCCCCCCCCCCCCCCCCAAAAAAAAAAACATCCGTGTAGGGGGGTATTCGCGGGACTCGGGGCCTGTTTTTTTTTATTGGGGTGCCACCCCTGCCGGTATTATTGTAAACAAACAAACAAAAAACGCAGAAGAAGGACGTATTGGATGAAAAACAAACCCCCCCCCCCCCCCCCAAAAAAAAATATATCGTCTGATGGCAGGTTATCGTGGCTAATGCGGCGCTTATTTGATTAAATGCGGACTGCATCGCCGTTGCAATTTGAAAACGACAACAGATTCAAGATGCATGAAGTAGGTTTTGGGATTAAATAAAAAGTGATGTTTCGACGAGTGACATTAGAAAATTCGTTTTCTGTTTAGTAATAGTGGGTAGCCCTGTGGATGAAAATAGCTTTGCAGATCACTTTACTCTTTTATAGGGAGCTCAAAGAGGTAAGACAGAAGCCTGAAGAGGCGGCCAGGCTAGATTAGGATAAGGAGTCCTTTTTATTGACTGTCTTTGCCGCTCTCCAGGCTGCATGCAAAGATAAAAGTGACTGAGTGTTTGCTGGATATTTCGGACGGTCAAGCCGCCCTTCTAAAGGGTAGAAACAAGAAGCTGTTATAATGTCTTTAGCATGAAAGCAGTACATTCGTAAAATTGGCACAAGAGTAGTAATAATAGAAATGGGTTGCGAATGGCCATCTTCTCTGCAAGGTTGTTGCCTTTTCAATCTATAACATGCTATAAGACTGCAGTCGATTTCTTGGCTTTTGATCTCTGCATGGTTCTTACGTATCCGCGGCTGCCTTTGGTTCACCATGGCAACCGGCTTTAGTAGTCATGCGTGTTTGGTTCTTGATAACTGCTAGAGTGTTCTGATCGGCCATCACGGACGCACAACGACATCTGTTTTGTCACGATCGGCGTTATTTCTGCTTCAGCTTACTGGAGAAAGTAAACTCAATAATGTTAAGTGATCGATAGAAGCATACAAAGGAAAAATGGTCTCCGAATTGAACGATCTGTGCCATACAAAAGCTTTCACATTGTCACATTTTCGGCTATAGCCAATGTTCACGGAAACTTGGTGGCTTAAAAATTTGGCGCAGCTGTAAATAACGGACAAGCTTCGAGGCAATGCAGTCACTACAAGCTATGTCAAAGGTTCCTACGCAATCTTCTAACCTTCCTCCACTTCAAAACCTTCCCTCTTGGTCTAGAAACTCTTTGGGAAGGAGAAAGCCTCCACGTCCGATAATTCGTGACCGCTTACAGCCTATAAAATCAATAAGGGAGGAAATGGACGAAATCGGGGAGGATAAATCGAAAGGAAAAGCAAATCTCCCAGGAAGGATTGTTTCTGCGCCTTCTCGAGGCCACGAACTGGATGAAGCTCAAAGGATAGAAAATATAGAGAAACGAATAGACTACCTGCGTACCCAACATGCTGAAACACTAACAAATTTACACAACGAAATAGAACGTTTAAAAGCTGAAAACAAAGGTGAGATAGGTCTGTGATAACCTTTAGATCTTGGTTTAAAGCCCGGCATTTGATTTGCAAAGTTTTTAAAAAATACAGTGGGAAATACAGTAGAGTTGAAGTAGGGTTAAGAACGTGTGTGTTACGATTTTTGCACGGAGGAATTTAAGCTGTCTGTATATTTTGAGCTCACATTATACAAGTTAATCTTCTAAGAGGGGGGGCTGATGTGATAATTGTTAAGTACTACCGTTTTCTTCGTTTTGCAGAGCTGAATTTTAAACTGGTTATGGCGAGAACAGGAGTTAATCTGGCAAAAGGTTTGTTTATTCTTTGTTGTTTCCGATCATTAATGAGGTGTGAACGACTTAAGTGACTGATTTCTATGGCCTAGCCTTCCACCATATTTCCCAAGAGCTTATCATGTAGACTTATTCACTGGCCCTGTTGTATCTGCTCCTAAAATGATAAAAAAGACCTGCATCCTCCAGATAATAATTGTTTGTTTGGATGTTACAAAACAGCTGTTATATCATTAAGTAAACAAGACAGAGCTCAGGTCATCAATGACATAATACAGTCACTTATCCTTTCTGACATGCTGGTGTGACATATTTGAGGATCTTAGCAACCCATGTATACACATCTGCATGGGTCATGTGTAGGCCTAATTATTTAGAATTCTTTTCGCCGAACACCACTTATAGAATAGATAAATAATTTAAACCTCAAGCCTACAGCAGTGATTGCAAAACATTTCAAAATCTTTTGTGTTGTGATTTTGTTGTCATTTTGGCCTTGACCAGATGGAGCTTTGTCTTGAAGGTGTAAAATGCTATGTTTGAAGGCACTTAATATCTCCAGTTAATACTACATGTAGTTGGGGACTATTACATTATTTTACATGTTGGAATTTTTTTTGTTTGGAGATGATACCATTTTTGTAGGTTGCATGCTGTGGGTTAATTTTTATTTGTCTTTCTTTGAAAGGAATAAAAATGTGTTGTGATCTTACCTCACCATGCTAAAAAAACAAACAATAAATACCTGTAGGTTGGATTGGGGTGATTTCGCTGTTTCCAGTGCTTGTTCGCATCGTAACTGAATACCCTGAGTGAAGGAAAAACTTTTAATTCATAACAAGTAGTCAAGATTTGTGGGTAATGGAGCACTCTTACCCTCTGATTTCGTCAATTTTTCATGCTGCTTTGCTTAGAAAGTGGTGGTGGTAGACAGTGATGTATCAATGATGCACATCGTACACGTATGGAAATAAATTTTGTTTGGAAAAAAAATTTCAGCTCTGTAACTGTCAATACTTTTTGATAATTCATAAATACTGTGGCTGTACACTTTGTCTGGTTGTCATGAAATTTTTGGTTTGTGATCATGCTATGCAAATTTCAATGATGTTGTTTTGCAATAACTGATTAATTTAGAAAGTGTTCTGTGAAAATTTTGTAAAGTTAATTTCTTTCTACAGATGATGTTTCTTCAGTTCCTGATGAAAGTCATGCTTTGCAAGTTACTGGCTCAGGTGAACCTCTTCTTTTTACTCTCAGTTCAAAGACAAAATATTTTATTCAATTATTTAACATAATTTATTTTAATAGGATCAAAATGTGCAACTACAGTTGTTTGCTGTATAGCTGGAGGGTTCTCTCCTAATTGTCTCGGGACTGGTTTTTATTTATTACCCGCGATTGATTCGCAGTCACACGTGTTTTCTAAGAGGGAATCTTTGTTGGCCTTTGCACAATTACTATTATATAGATGTGGGTTTTCTGAGTTTCATCCAGGCATGGATTTTGTATGTTTCCCATTTGGATTTTCAATTCACTGTAATTTCCTCAAAAAATAGTCGAGGCCTTTTTTTTTTCACACAAAAGGGGAGGGATTTTTAGAGGGAAGGTGATTATTTCAAATATTGCTCACTGGAAGCCATGCCCTGTATATTTTGTTTATTGTCCCATTAAATCAAAAAATGATCACATCAAATAAACTAAACATGGGCTTTCTAAGTGTTCCAAATTTGTTTCCTTGGCTAAATTTCAATGTCAATATCCTCTGCATCAGAGCTTGAATCGTCACTGATCAGTTTTGCTGGATCAGAATCCTCTTCAACTTAACAGGGAAGTTACACGTATTATAAAAGAAAGAGAAGATGGCAAGAGGGGTAGGGGGTGATTATTCGAGGGAGGCGATTAATTGTTGAGGGATGACTATTATTCAAGGAAATATGGTATTATATATTTTTTAAAATGTTAGGTTCAGTCTTGTAATGAATGGGTCTCAGCTTTTAGCTAGATGTTTTTGAACTCTTAGGAATGCCTTCATTAATCTTCTGAAATTAAAATATCATACCTTTTGTTCTCAAAAAACTTTTGTGGCAGGTATATAGAACCATGTACTTTCTCTGTGTATATGTCTCAGTCTGTATATATTGAACACTGAAAGTGAGAATTTCAAACTGCAAGATTCTGCAGTCGGTGATAAGCCTGAGAAGTCATAGTGTACAGAATCAGGTCATTTTGGAATGTTTTACCTCTATGACAAACAGTGGTACTGGTACATTGTACCTGTATGTTATTTCATGGGAAGTGAGATGAGATATTGTGGAGTTCATTGGTTTCATTTGCTTCCTTGATTTGTAGATGAGGAAGTTCAAGATTTGTTAACAGAAACTTTAGACATGTCAGAGTCCAGACATGAAGAGAAGCTGCCTTTACAACACCCAGTCAAAGAAGCATCTAGCAAAAGTACGTTGCAGCAAGCTTCAGGATCAAGTGCAAAGAGAAATAAAAGGTGTGATTGGAAATACAGTACATGTAGCTACAATGTATTGATAAACATTAAAATTCTTCTAGAATTTGGATAAAATTAAAAATTATGTTAATTTTTAACTAGTACAGTAATGCTCAATTTTAAGTCATCACCCTTTTGAAGGGAGTGATTCTTGTCATGTGCTATATTTAACTCCTGTTTTGTTTTGCTATCTAATACAGTGTATGTAGTTTTAATTATATAAGCACCAGTGAAATACCAGGTGAGCTAACTAGTTTGAAAACATTATCCCTTTACATGTGAATATACGCACATAGATATCTGTTGATTCGGCTACATTATTATCACTTGGAGTTACAAAATTTTCTCTTCTATTGTTGAGAACAAAATATTTTTAACATGAGAAGAGGAATTTGTTGTTTCTCTGCATGGCCATGTCATCCTTTATATCTCTGATCTTTGAGGTACAGACAAAAGGATTATTTTTTCATTTTTTTGGTCCTGGTCTAATTTTATAGTAGTTTTTATCCATAGCACTGGACTATTATATGTATTTTTTAATATTATTTTATTGATGATTACTTGTAAGAGCATCGAGACGTTGTTAAATGCTCCTAGCACTTGTATATTATTATTATTATTATTGTTATTGTTATTATTATTATTATTATTATTATTATTATTATTATTTTGTGAGTTATCTGAGTTGTTGCGTGTAAAAACCTGTCATTTTAAGCTGGAGGCTTGGAATGGTTCTTTGATGGAGCAGAGAGTAATTCTAAGTTATATGATTTTACAATGAATTCAAAGTAGACAGACTGCAAATTATGGTAGTTGCTAAAAAATATATCTACCTGTCCCAACCGTTCATCAGTAGGATGCCTAAAATGCGTGCAATTCCACAATTGGTTTGGGCTCCATTAAATCCTATACCAATTGCAGAACATTTTAGCAGGAATGTGGTGTTAATACAGTGCTCATATTGCCAATTTTCACCTTTTACCTTTCTCTTGTAATGCTTGTTTTGATTGTCAGTGCAAAAAGAGCAGAAAATTACTCTTTTTGACTGTTCGTAACTTAAGTAATTGATCTGTTGACCTAGTGTGTACAGTGTACATATAGCTTGGATTTTTTCAATATGAAACTATAGTGTGATAGCACGTCATGTATGTGTAAGATTGAATGGAATGTACAGAAAGCAATCTGATCATGCACGTTTGGACCTTCTTCAATCATAATCTGATCACACATGTTTTGACCATCTATCACATGAAACTTGTATAAAGCACAAAAGGATTTTGACCTTTGGCATTGTCACCCACACTCCGTAACCTTTGGTTATTACTAGTTAGTAATAGTCGTAATGGTCTTTGTGTAAGCAGTGTTTGGTATTTTGAAGGATGTTGGTGGAGTGAGACACTATACCAGTCTAGTCCTGGCATGTTTCTTGTCAGGTCTAGGCTGGTTAGTTTTCTCTCTTTACACTTTATGCTGCTGAGCTGTTGCAATATCCAGAAGACTGTTCTCCCATCTTCCACAAATCACAAAAACTTCTAATCCCTAAATAAATGAATATACATGTAAAAGTAGACTTAAATGATTGACGTATGATTTGAGAGTACGGTAGATTGAGTAGAGAAATAAAAGGTGTGATTGGAAGTACAATACATGTAGCTACAATTTGTTTGATAGATGTTAAAATATTATTCTTCTAGAATTTGGATTAAAAATTGTTATTTTGTAACTGGCACAGTACTGCTCAATTTTAAGTTATCACCCTTTTGAAGGGAGTAATTCTTGTCGTGTGCTATGTTTAACTCCTATTTATTTTTACTGTCTAATACAGTGTATGTAGTTTTAAGTATATAAGCACCAATGAAATACCAGGTGAGCTAATTAGTATGAAGACATGATCTCTTCACATGTGAATTTACGTGTAGATATCTGTTGATTCGGCTACATAAAGCACAGAAGGATTAATATTCGGCTGCATAAAGCACAAAAGGATTTTGACCTTTGGCATTGTCACCCACACTCCGTAACCTTTGGTTATTACTAGTTAGTAATAGTCGTGATGGCCTTTGTGTCAGCAGTGTTTGGTATTTTAAAGGATGTTGGTGTAGTGAGACACTACACCAGTGTAGTCTTGGCATGCTTCTTGTCAAGTCTAGGCTGGTTAGTTTTCTCTCTTCACACTTTATGCTGCCGAGCTGTCGCAATATCCATGCCATAACCTTTGGTTATTACTAGTTAGTAAAAGTCATAATGGTCTTTGTGTAAGCAGCGTTTGGTATTTTGAAGGATGTTGGTGGAGTGAGACACTATACCAGTGTAGTCCTTGCATGTTTCTTGTCAGGTCTAGGCTGGTTAGTTTTCTCTCTTTACACTTTATGCTACCGAGCTGTTGCAATATCCAGTAGACTATTCTCCCATTTTCCACAAACCACAAAAACTTCTAGTCCCTAAATAAATGAATATACATGTAAAAGTAGACTTAAATGATTGACATATGATTTGGGGGTACGGTAGATTGAGTAAGTTTACAAAAGTGTACTGAGGTGTATTATCAGGGTTTTTACTACACAGGTGCCAGAACTCAGGTCCCAGCTTCTAATGAAAACCCTTGTACTGTTCTTTCAAAAATAATAACCTTGTGTTGAAGATGGCCTTAAATTTGTTTTCCTTCTAAAATGAAACCAACCCTAAAACAATGCATGAATGTGTCAGGTGCACACTGTGTGATCTGTTTGTATCTGGTCCTGGAATACCTTGGTAAGTTTGGTTTGTTGTTGGGCTTGTTCAGAACATAAAGTTTATTGACAATTAAGGGGGGTTCCATGGGCTATTATAGACTTCTAGTCACTTGCAAAGTAGTATTATTCAATCAGTATTATATTATGCCCTAAAATGTTGAATACACGTAATGATATCTGCCATCAGCACAATCAAAGACTTTTTAAAAAGTGATTGTCTTATTTTCTTGACTTTGTCTTTTAGGAGTGAATCAGGTAAAAAAGGCGCAGCAGTGAAGGCCACGCCCACACCTCCCTTGTCGGCGAAAAGCTTAAACACAAAACCGAAGAGCTCAGGCAGATCAAAGACAAAGTCACAGCATTCTCATGAGCAGCACTCAAACCTCAGTTCCCCATATGCATTCTCATTAAATAGCACACCACCATCAGGAGCAAAGCAGGGTGTTTCTGTTGGACAGTCAGTTCTTGTAGTCACAATCAAGGATAAGACTGTTAAAGTCCACATGCCCACAGACAGTGCACCACGATCACCTACTTTGGTTGAATGCAAAGCTATAATCAAACATCAACAAGAGACAAATAAACGACAGGAACAAGAGGTGATAAAAATTATTACCAGCCGTGCCAGTAGAATATCTGAAACTTACTTGTAACAATCAAGGGGTCATCCACAAAAGTTAGAACCACTGGTTCTACATCATGTGCATGTAGACAATAGCTTCCATGTAGTGGAATCAATAGGCTTTCATTTGCAAACTTTGAAGTTAGAACATGCTAGAATTACATTTACATAATGAAACAAACAAACAAAAGAAAAAGCAAAGACAAAGGCCTTTAGAAAAGTTTAAGTCCACATAAATTGAAAAAAACATCAAGGAGATATTGCATCTTCAGTTGAACAAGACTGGTGATGGAATTTTTTTTGTTATTTAGGAACCTGGCTGTGTCCTAAAATTTACATTTCCAATTAATTTTGCCCTCCAATAACATTGCATGTTTTTGCTTTCCATGCTTTTGCATGTACTGTAAGAGATTTTTATTTTTCATATTTTCCAGTTATCAAAACTAAAGTCAGACTTAAATGATGCTTTGTATTCTGACAAATGGACACCAGATGCATATCTTTTGGCAAAATCATACATGGCAGAGGAGGTACCATCAACTGCAAGGTATACCATGTTGGTGAACATATTTATTTTTGTTATAGAAATATCCCCAAGTTGTAGGTCTGGTGGGGTTTAAACTCCAACCCTTTCAAAATTCCAGTCTTAGTTTGAGTCTTTCCTTTAAGAATTTGGGCAACAAGGCCCCTCCCTCTCTGCCCTTTATTTTTTTTTTCCTCCTTGGCATGTCCAATGGAAATTTCATGTGGTGGATATTCATATTTTTTGCCCTCAAATTCCATACCTTCTTATTTTGGACATAAAAGGTTAAAAAGTCAAGTCCTCCAAAATTACAGACAGTACACCTGTCTGTTAAATAAGTGGGTTGAGATATCTTAGCATCCGGCAATTTAACTGGGAGAATTAATCTGCCTTTGTGTTTTTTGCCATGGAAGTAAAATGTGACTTTATCTAGTTTGTGTAAATCCTGAAACAAGAGTTTCAATCTGCATCCTTGCTCATTGCTGTTCATGTCTCTCCAGACACAACACTCCGGCCACAAGATCGTTGCCACGATTACACTCAAGAGAGCAGACACACTCAGGAAGGTTAGTTTTAAAAGCTTGTGTGTACGGATACTTAAAGACCATAACTGTTATGTCTTGTCAGAGGTGTGGCCAGTCTGGGCAGAACCACTAATGCTGGTATGGGTATCAGTCAACTTAAATAGTATCTTCCATAGTATCCAAGTAGCCTTTTCAATCTTAGGTACATGAAAAAAGTTGTTATAATTTCACCAATTTGGGACACTCCACTGGCTCTTAGAACGTCATGTAGGCCAGAAAACGCTTTTTTTTTAAAGAAAGGTAACCGTTTTAGCCCGACAAACCAGAAAAAATTATCAGACATGCATCATATTGAGTTTAGTTGCCATGCAAATCTTTGCCTGCATAATGATAGTCTGATATTTGATCTGTCCGGTCACAATGCCCGACCTTAGGTAGAAATGTATTGGACATAGGCAGATTTACTTTATTACAGCACTATTATGCACACGTCTCTCTCACCTCTGAGAGGATTAAGCGTGGTAAATGAGTTCCTTTCCTGGAGCATGATAAAAAAATCTTGCCTGATAAGAATGGCCCACTAACATACCTGACCATACTTTTTGTTTGATTTAGTCTAACACTACATCAAAGGAAAAAGACCGAAATCCCAAGTCTTTATGGTAATAACCATTTGATTCTCACTGATGTTGATTTCTTCTTTTGTTTCACAGACTGGCAGCAGGGAGACTGCACTATGTCAGTGAAAGTGTTTCTCTTCCAGTTTTACGTCCGAATGGCGCTGCTAATGTTGCTGACAGAAAGCGTAGACAACAAGCAGTGGTCAGAGGAAGAGCCGGCAAGAAGGACTTTTGATGATATGATACTGAAAAATTATGCATTTTAGTCTAGTGCAATAATGGTTTTACCCACCTGTAGCCCATAGCTGTTTTTATTTCACAGAATTGTAAATATCTTTGAATTCTAAGCTAGTTATTTTTGAATCACACCAACTCTCTCCTCATTGTTCTTAGGGAATTAAATGTACTATCTACTGATACGATCAGCTAAATGGGGTGCAAATTATTTAATAAAAGATATTTAACTAAATAGCGCAGTTTGCTGGTTTGATCTGCAAGATTGTGTAATTTTTGTAAGGTGAAAATTATTCTACAGATTGATCCAACAGTTGCTTACATATATCTCTAAGCCCCCAAAAAACAGATGGGTGACAATCTTTGACAGTTTGAACAACGAGCGCATGAATTTCTCCAACGTCCTCTATACTGAATTGCAGTCAGAAGTTTTATTGTTTGCTTGATGGAACGCTTCTCCCTGACACAATGAGTTGTACTTATTTGCGAGTTCGTACTTTTTAAGCTTTTATTTTAACTCCAGTAGGATGAAAGAGAGAAAAGACTGACTGTCAGTAGTCATTTTGACGGACGGGAACGTTCTCGTTGATTAAGGCGTCTGTTATGAGAGTTCAACTCCACTATTCGTAACCTTCACTTCCTCGGATTTAGGGGTGGTCCGCGGGGACTGTGGGCCCTCTCGTCTTTCTTTGGTTTTGTATTGTTTTTAAAGAATTCTTCGTAAAAAAAATCATGTCTATATAGCTGGTAAGTGTGTTCCCCTCAAGGCGTAGTCGCACTGCTTTTTTACATGAAGTCTGAAACGTACGATCCCACTGAACAAGAAAGCAAAACAGGGGACCTTTGAGTTTCTGATGCTGACAGCTAGCAGAGGGTTGAGTTGAACATAGTGGGGAAAAAACTCAAGGTTCGTGTTTTCGTTGTAAACGTATTAACCCCCTTTATTTGTACCTATAAAACTGACCAAAATTTCCTCTATTTCGCGCTTTATTAGTTTCAACAAACCACGCTTAGGAATTTAATTGAAGAGTTATGAACTGGACCACTTTCACTATTTAGCTGCTCCCCTACAATTTTAAAAAACGCGTTGGGCTGGAAGATTGTCCTCGTTTTTCTTCTGTCTTATTGGTTCCCCTCAACAGACCCGTCTACATAGACAGGAGCCAATTCCGGGTGAGGAGAACTCCCCCTGAATACTAGTCACATAAACTCTTTATGTCCTTGCGACAGAAACCGTGCATATATTTTCTTGGATAAATGAAAGTTGTTGTTCGTCCATCGTTGCCGACGATGACCAAGAACATCACTTGGGGAAGGGATTAGGTGCGGTGTTTCCGGCTGCGGCTGATCAATCCAATACAGGTGCGGAAGGCTCTGTCGCATTCCGGACTCTGGTGAGTTTCTTGAGCAGGTATCAAGAATATCGCTTTGGATTTGCGCAGCTCACGCTTCCTCAGAGCCCCTGCTATCCTGGTTTGCTCGAAAAGGGCAGTGCCTTTGTTGACTTTGCTACGCCAAGTAGGTCGGTCTAGAGCCAGGGTTTCCCAGGTTTCAACCGATATCAAAGCTTTTTCAGCAACGCTTTGATAAAGTCCTAGTAGCGCTTCTTTTGTCCACCCTGTGAGCGTTTCCCCTCCGTCAATTCGCCATAGAATAGTCTCTTGGGGAGGCGTGTGTTAGGCATTCTGACTAGATGGCCAGCCCACCTAAGCTGTGCCTTTTTGAGCACTGAGTGTGAATGCTTGGGAGGCTAGCGAGAGAGACGACTTTGGTGTCAGGGACTTTATCACGCCAGGTGATCTTCAACAGTTTTCTATTAAAAAGGGGGCAGCACTAAAACATGGAATCCGGAATCCGGAAACGGAAACGGAAACGGAAACAGAATACGGAATCAAATATCGATGATAGAAAATTAAAGAATTTCACAAAACACAATTTAGTACAATCCAAAGAGAATTTGTCTTAGTTTTCTTGGCAGTTCCCTTAAATATATTCTTGTTATTGTGTCTTGATAAGGTTTGCCGTAGTGTGGGTTACTGCACTGCAAGGCCGATGAAAGTAATTTTACGAGTAATTTTTATTCACGAGTTCATGGGTTGAATAATACAGTTAAACATTACTTTTGTAGCTAATTGTCAAGAATAGTCGAAGTTAGCCTCAGACCACACCACGTGATTGTCCCCAAACTGAATACTCCACACATGACCGACCGGTGACGTGACCACAGTTCCTGTGTTTTAGCAATAAGTTCAACTTTTTCGCCAAGCTGAATACTGATGTAATACTGGTGTACCGGTAATTAAGTTTACGTGGACGTCCGTATTTTTGTTGAAGAGGCTTATTAAACATGGCGCATTATTTTGATGTAATCGGTTGCGGAATCAAGCAAATGCATGCACAATTCTCTCTTCTCTGTGGACTCCACAATGCCATGGTTCTCTTGAGTAAGTTGTCTTGATAAATAAAACTGAACACTGTTGAAGACAACCCAGAAAAGACACTGAGAAAAACTTAACGGCGACGCCTTTCAGTTATGTAAACGACGCCTCAGACGATTCAAACGAAGTCTGTCTCCATATAACTTACCTTTTTGTTAAGGCACTAGTTTTTGTCAGTCACGTTTTTCTCCTCGCTTTGCTGTCCCATGATCTGAGAATTTGCATTCATTGCCGACAGTGGTATCAAGCGTCTTTTCACCGGAATCGACTCCTCTAGTGACACAGCAGTCTCCTCTCCTGTACTCAGCTAATTTATTCATTTGTGCCTTTTTTTTATCTGTTTATTTATTTCATTGTCATTGCTAATATTATTTTTTTCAAATCGATCGCTTGGAACCTTCTTTCACAGATTCCGTATTCCGTTTCCGTTTCCGTGATTCCGTTTCCGTTTCCGGATTCCAGATTCCATGTTTTAGTGCTGCCGTTAAAAGGCAGTTCAGGTGGAATCGGTTAAGGTCGTTGGCGTGGCGTTTGCAGACTGTCCACGTCTCGCAGACCTCAAAGTCCAGGCAGGCATAAAAGAGCTTTGGGCGACGCCCTTGTTTCTCACGAAGGAGACTGAAACCCAGCGATTTAGTCAGGTGATGGTTCAAACAAGATGGCGGTAAACAAACATGGCGGTTTCCTTGAACGAAGAATTGAAGTTTTTCTTTGGTCATTTTATACCCACCTCACCTCATCGTAGAAACCTGTCAAAGACGAACAATTATTCTAAAAAGGAAGAGGTCGGTAAAGAAACTGGAAAATTAGAGTACTAACTCTGGGAAGTTACCGTTAGATATGTTTTCTAGAGCTCGCTCAATCTTCTTTCGCTACACCTCTGCTCTATTTAAAAAAATCATTTAGGGAGGACGTATTCAGGGTATAACGAACTGGACTTAAATTATTTGGAAAGGAAATTGGGAACATCGAGCATCTAATATTGGGTCCTCCTGCATGTACCTGCGCAACAAAACAATGAACTGATTGACCTTCGGGAGATGTATTGTTTTGTTCTTTTTACTCAATTTGTGACCGGGTACCTGCACAAGGACTCCTAATCCCTCACCTACTGTATAATTACTCCTTCATTAATTTCTAGTAACAGAGATAATCTTTGTGTTAAGCTTCAAGATGGTGTAAATCCTAGTGAGCCCAAGACTCCACTCCAGAACTGGCATTCTAAAATATACAGATAAGAATAATAAAGAGTCATTATTTTTTTGGGTAGACCATTCTATACCCTAATGTAGGTGTACTGTTTAAAAGTGATAATACATCACTGACTATCAGTGTTGTTACTATTGACTATTCACACCAAAGGCAGCCCAAGCTCAGTATTTATCTTTTTGAAGCAAACAAATCCTTTATTTTTATGGCCATTTTTAGGATTATGCAACATGAGACCTCGCTTATTAATGATTTTAATAGTGCTGGGGGCATCTTTAGTGGTTTCCAAGCCTCCTACCAAATTGTAGCTTATTTAGCCATCATTAATACACAGTAGCTTTCCTCAGAAGGGGTATTTTACTGGGAGGGAGGTCATGGGTTTTCCTTGTCCCACATAATAGAGACCTTTTGATTCCAGGAAGAGAATGAGTAAAATTTTTTTGCATATTGTCAAAAAATAGACATCCCTGAATGCTTCATTGTCCGTTTTTTTTTTCACCAAAAAACTTGCAAATCTTTATTCGAGGAAGTTAAGCCCTCTCCCGATCTGCATAAAATGATAAAAATTCTAATGGTTGATATCTTACTTTCACCAGTATATATAACATTCTGGCTAAAACTCATGCTCAAGCAGTACTCAGTATTGAGAAAACTTGTACTTGTCGTACTCGTCTGAGAATCTTAAGGTCTCTAATTATTGAGAATGACAATTTATTACAACATCTCAAACAAAATTACTTTTTTGGATTTCACTTAGGATGTCAACCAGTGTCCTTTCCAGACCAACCCAAGTGGGCTTCACTAACTTTCCAGTTCCAGCTAGTATACAACCTGAATTTAATCCTGCAGTGAGTGTTCCACGTCGCTTCATGCCAGGCACATCACATACTGAAGCAGCTCCTCATCAAATGAATCAGCTGCAGTTTAACTTAGGAGTTCCTACTACAGAAAGTCAATTAACAACAAGGTTTAGAAAGCCACAGCCTATAGTTATAGAAAAAATATCTGAACAGTCCCAAACTCCACATGCAGCACCTCATATTCCAAGTGTTTATCCTCTGCACGTAGCTTCTGTTTCATCTTCACTGTCAAGTGACAGACTCGCTCTTGCAGTTCATCTTGCTAAAAGGGATGTTAAGAAGGTGAAACAACTTGGAACTGATAACATTTTAGTGTCACAATTTGAGGAGACTGAAAACAAGCATGTCACTTCATCAGCCAAGGGGTCGGGAACTACAGGGAAGAAAGGTAAAGGGAAGAGAGGTAAATCTAAAACTCAAAGTGTTCCATCACAAAATGGTGTTACTCTGCGGGAAAGGGTACATCAGGTGGCAAAAAAGCAAGAAGCAGCGGCTAAGAAACAACATGAGATGTACTTTTACCCTGCAACGAGGGAAGATGATGGTTTTGAATCAGACAGGGAAAGGAGTCAAGCAAATGAAATACGAAAACTTCGAAAAGAACTTCATCAGTACATGATGCAAATGGAGGGATTAAGAAATGAAAGACCTGAGGTCTTGAGAAATAAAGATAAAAGGCTGAAGAGAAGAAGAGGTGACGAAGTGAGATTATCAGATGATGATGTTGACCAGCGGCAGGTAGTGAGATATGAAGAGCAGGCTGCCCGATCTGCGAGGATGCTTTATGTACTACAAAGACAGGTACCTATAAGAGATAAATCAGTAGACTTTCTAGTTATTTCACCATTTTACACGACATACAGTGTAAGTGTTCAGTCTGGGCTACAACATGTAGATCAGACTTGTTTTGCAGTCTTCTCCTTATCAGGAGGTAACCGGTAAAATTTACCATGTGAAGTGTTACCAAGATTAAATAAGTTGTTTCACAAAATAATTATGCAAGTTGTGATCCAAGCCGATCCTCAAAAGAAAAGGAAGTAAATACGGAAAAACAAAAAGCGTGCACAGCTATTCTCTCTGCTTTACTTTATTTAAATGTTGACTGGTACCTTCTGAAGCACTGCAGGCTAACAATTTTTTTGTGGGCTTGTTCCAATTGTAGACTTTCTCGACGAGCAGGAAAAGTGTGCGACTTCTGCGACTTGTAGCAAAATTGACCCTAGCAGTAAAGGCAGCCTTCATTCATAAAATTCTTTGTTTTGAGATGTTTAAGATAATTTTTGGTCAATTGGTTGACAGGATGCTTGAAAATAGAAGCCTTTTTGAGTGCGAACCCCCCTCCCCACCACCCCCCGCCAGGAGAGTGCACCTCTGGTGCATATTTTTGGCCTTACCATTCAGGGATGGTCCTTTACCTGCTGAGCTAAACTTTGGGGAGAACACGGGTCTAGATCAATATATTGTCAGTATGATAAATATTTGCCATGGCTAATTAACGCAGAAAATCTCCGCCAGGACGGCAATATTGGTTGGTTTGCTTAATTAAGTTTAGTGGTCTTACTTAACCTTCAAGCCCTTGTTCCAGACAAGGATCCATAACTCTTACCCCATTTAGATCACAATGGCAGTTGAAGTCTTCACTTAAACTCAGCCCAATGGGCTAATTTACATGTAAAGCTGTGCCCTTTGGTACACACATACTTATACATCTTACGTTGGGTAACTCTTGAAACCAGTAATAATATTTAATAAATAACATATGACAGATTCAGTCTAAAAAAGATTAATTCCAGCTTGTCGTTTAGACAAGCCGCTGCTCTCACATTTTTGTCAAGCTTGTCTCAGTCCCAATAGTGACCAACATCAATTTTCTCCTAACAATATCCATATATTGCCTAGAAAAATGGTTATGAGAGTTAATAAAATGATCACTAAAGAGAAAATGCTTTGATCTTTTATCAAATAATTTCTCTAAACTAATTCTGCAAGGAAATGTATGGAGATCAGTTTTGAGAATTTGTAAGTGCATATTGGGGCTTAAAGGGTTAAAGAATGTCACTTGCCTGGGCCCTTGCCCAGTGGGCAAGTGAGCATGAAAAGTGACTAGTCCAGCATTGAAATCTATGTGTATTTGCTGTGGAAGATCAGACGTGACTTGTGGGAGCCCTAATTATTATGAATGCTTCTCTGATCAAGTGCATATTTGCCTCCTTTTTCAGGTTCAAGAAATTGAGGATGAGCTAAATAAGAAGGGGAGAGGAATAAAACACACAAAAAAGGTATTACTGTGTAAAGTAATTCTTTCACTTACCTGGACAGTTCAACAGTACACCTTCCAGTGTTATTATATATATAAATTTTTCAAACCTACACCACCACTGTTAGACAGTAACTGCAGGCACTTCATGTCGAACCATCTATTTTATCTCAGCTGCTTACTGAGTCTTGATTTGTAATGGTAACAGGACTGAGTAGAGTCCAATTCAGTCTGTAATCATATGAGTGATTAACAAAATCGGACAACCATGTAGCTAGTAATTTGTGATATATAAAACTTTTCTTAAATCAAAACACAAGAAATTTTGTAGTTATGATTATCCTTGAAACAGTTAATGTTTGTGAAAATTATCTTATATTTTGCTGAACCTTCCTGTTTACTGAAATACGGATATGGAATCTTGAAGGGTGGCTCTTATAGAAATGGAACAGAAATTCTATTTTCCCGCAATATTTTCTACTGGAATGACCCAAAAAGTAGTATTCCATTATTTTATTCTCCAACCATATTAAACTTTTTAAAATTGTAAACAACGTTAGTTTCAACCAAAGTATCCCCCTTTTAGAGGCGTTGACCATTATGGCTGACTGTATAACTATATATGTTCATTCTGCAGAGCCAGACATTGAGTCGCCTTGCAGCAGCCCATAGGGGAGCAGTTAGAGCACTACAGACATTTGTCAGCCATGCCCCATTACAGCCCAAGGTTGGCCATGGTCTTCCACCAATGTACCAAGAACTATCAGCCCTTGTTAGACAATTATCACTTTTGGCTGCACAGCTCCATGTTGGTGGGGAAGATCTTGGTAATGAATTGAAGAGGATGGAGGACAAAGAGAACAAGGTGGGCAAGATCCTGTGTTTACACGATGATGAATACTAGTTGGTTCATTTATTGAGTTGTTTGTTGATTTTTGTCTTTTCTTGTTGTACATCATTGATAGTAAACTATTCAATAACTCAATTTCTTTATCATAAGAGTGAAAAGGAAGAACCTGTGTTGAAAACAGAAGAAATCTCAGAGAAGCCAAGTGCCTTTATCCAGGAAGTAGCTGGCAGAAAACCTCAGGACTCTGATAAAGTTCCAACACCAATGAAACCAGGTTTGAAAATGAAAAGTCAATAACTGTTAACAGTAGCTATACACAGTCTTGGCAGAATCACTTAATTCATTATCCCTTGATAAAGTCCCAATATTAACCATTGGAAACATCACTGAGTTTTCTTAATTCTGACAATATCAGTACATAGATGGCTGATGAGGTAAAGAAATATGAAAAAGACTAACACTTTTTTGTATTTCTTTACTGAATATCACCTCATCAGCCATCTATTAGTAAGTACAAGTGTCACGCATCCCTGACAGTTTTTCAGTTTAACCTTCAATATCAATACATTATCAAGAGAAAAAGTTACGATCTAACTGATAAAATGATCACCAAGGGAAAATAATTTATGCTGTGATCCTTTACCAGATTGTCTCTCTTATTCTGTAAGGTCAGTTGATTTTGAGAAATTATTTTTATATCATTATGGTTATTGGGGCTTGAAGTGTCAACGAAAGGCTCTGTTCACAGTTTAACACATCTACACATCAATGACCCATAACTGCTTGCGTGGATCCATATCCCATGTACCTTTTGTGTTGCTATCAGTTAAAAGGTCAATCATAGAGAACCACCCAACTTCCGTGTGGGAGAGGTGGAAAAGGCAAGATCTTTGTACAGAATGAGTGAATAGTCAAACAGGCCAGATAAGAATGTGACAAATCATGTACAGTTACCCAGAAAATCCATTTATGAAAATCTTGTATCACTACCCACCTGATCTTCCTTCAAAATAATTTTTGTGGAAATGCAGCCTATTCCCAGCCAAATAATTTTAAAAAGCAGGAGGAGAAAAAGCAAACAAGGGAGGAGAGAATGAAAAATTAATAATAATTATTGCCTTTAGTGCCTTTTCAAACTTTGGAAGCTGTAATTTAGCACCAGGAGCAAAAGGCAGCAAAGTTCTTGACTTGCAAAGTAACAAATTGTTTTGTGCAGCTTCAATGCTTTTTGGTGGGCCCAGGAACTGCTCAGCTATAAAGCTAAAGTGGCATTTTTCAACAACAATTTCTGGGATGAACAACTCAAAGCTCTTGTTTCCCTTCTCTTGAGAAACAAATTTTAATTTTTTGACAGTGGTCACAAGTTCTCCAGACCCCACTCCAGAGAGGGATGCCATACTTCAGGCTGGGTTGTCTGCACTTTTAAGAGCGAAGGACACTCCTGTTCAGACTCCTGTGGTACGTTTTACTTTACCTTTTACGTGCAACTTTCAATACTACTACTAATACAAATGTTTTACTACTAATACAAATGTATTAATCTAAATAGATTACAGATAATAAGATATTGCTTTTTTCCTGTGGTGCTCTTTCTGTACTCAGGTCATGAGGGTCATGCAGGGTTGTCACTAAGATTTCAAGTTGCCGGGTAAATACAACAAGTAGGTGGGGAATCAAACAGCTAGGGGTCTTTGTGTTTTATTTTTCTTCTATTTTCCTTTGAAAGTAGCCGGGGGCCACATTCATAGTAGCTTGGGGAATTCCCGGCCCCCGCCTCTTAATGACAGCCCTGAGTCATGGGGGCTTTTTAGTTCCTAAAGTCATGTGATCACTAATTAAATCTCTGAGCACTACGATGATTCTTTATCAAGGGATTGGGTAGGTAAGCATTCCCTTCTCTCTTCCTCTTCCTCCCTTCCTTCTTATTTTTCCCCTCCCTCTGCACTCCACTATCTGAATGCCTGGAACAGGGTATGATTTCCTTGGCACTGTTTATTATTTAGTCTATAAGAAAGTTCTTTTCTTTTTTCTCACACCTTGCGATACAAGACAGCTTGCTCAGTTGAATTATCCTAGTGTGAGCTTTTTGTGTTATTTTGGGTTTACATCTTGGCTTTTTAGTTTTAAGAGCTTTCTTTAAATGGATCAACAACCTCTTTTACGGTGTTTAACCCTGTCTGATCTGAGATTGTTATGGATCGTTTGTGTGTTTTCTTTTTCAGGTAAAACCAGGCCTTCAGCCAAGAGCTGCTCATTTTCAGGCTGCAAAACCTGTCAAACCAGTTAAACAGGCTCTGCTGCTTCCTGCTAAACTGAAGGTATTAGACATCACTGATTTCTGGCATTATGTTGTCAGTTGTTTTAAATTCCTTCCTCTCTACTTCTTAATCAATAAATTTCCAGTCCAAATGCCATTAATAGGTTCATCCAGTTCATACAAACATTTTCTGCACTAAAATTGGTCAATCTACAGACAATCTAGATATTGACATTTTTATCCTTTTTAAGAAAAGTTATGACATTACAGTTTTAAATCTGCAAACATGTTTCAGATGAAAGTACTTACATCCGTCAGTTGACATCTTTATAAAGCAAATGTTTTCAAAAGTAAATGTTACAGGCATGTAATTTTTTTGGCACCCCAGCGACCATGAGCCTCTAACTATTATAATAGCTTAAAAGCCATAATATCCACATACACATTCTCCAGACAGATCTCCATAAATTTCCTTTAAGAATCAGTAGAGAGAATTTGATTAAAGATCAAAGCATTTTTCCTCAGTTGATCATTGCATTAATTCTCATATAATCTTCTCTCTTGATTTTATATTGACATTGTCAGGAGAACATTCATGTTGGTCACTCACAGTTGCTAGGGTATTTGCTCTGACGGTAGTTGACTGTCTGTTCAGCCTTAGGCAAACACTTAGTGTGCACTTAGTGTCCACCTTAGAGGGGTGTTTTTTTTTTTTTTTTTTTTGAGGTGTCCGGCATAGACTTAATGCTGTGTCGTTTTTACTCTTAAAGCTTAAACGCCAGAGAGCTCAACAAATTGCCAAAAGGGTTAAACTGCTTCAAGACATGGAGCGGGCTCACTTTGCAAAAGAGACAGTGTCCTCCATCCTCAAAAAGGCCCCTCCTGTAGATTGGGCAGACAAACCAAAAACTCCGCCAAGAACACCCACAAAAGAAGGTCCAAGGACCCCGGAAAAGGTGTCTCAACATGTTACGGCTTATATATCACCACGAACACAGAGAAGAGAATGTGAACGCCAGGTGATACTACTATTTTGAAAATTGTCTTTTTGTAGCAGACTGAATTTTCAAATACAATACTCTACTTTTTGATTAACCCCACCTGGAGGCAAAATATGCAGAACACACGATTATCAACTGTAAGAGATCTTTATTTATTTATTTTTTTACTTTTCTTTTCATGTCCTTGTAGGAAGTACTGATTTTACTTAAAGACAGTTTATTCATCAAAGTATTCAGTGCCTCAGAAAGCTACAGAATTCCTTAGTTAGAAGCCCCCTTAATTTAGCTACCAAACTCCAGGGCTCACACAAAGTTCAGTTGCCTAAGATTTGAGGGAAATCTATTCATATACAAATGAATTAGAGTAGAGAGGGCAATACGATCGCAAATCATGGGGATCTTCTTCGTGTATTGTAACTCAAAACACAGATGATAGACGTTTTAACACACTGTGATATAATGTGTTAGTCAACCTGCAGGACAGTGTCAGACAAGAGGGAGAGGGAAGTGAAGATTCCATATTTTTGGTGTTAACATTCACCATAAAACGTGGCAAAGAGATAATTCATTATCATCATCATCATTATCATCATCATCATTACGTTGTCGTTTCTGCTGCCGTTTAAGCTCCTCGTTATCCTCTTCCTGAACCTGTCGATGGAACACTAGTTTAGGAAGAGTCAAGGAATTGTGTAATAATAATCCTCTTACTGAAAGCCTGGTTTAGTTAATCTATTCGGCAAATTATAAGCTAGTTTCTCTGTGTAAGTTAAGGATTTTGGTATGACTTTTTTCTTGTTTTGTCTGTTCTTGTGTTCAGCTTGAAAGTCCAAAAAGCCCAAAGTATCCTCGTAGAACGCTTCCTCTAGACTATGAGCTGGTGGAAAGAGAAGTGGCCAGGTAATGTTCTCTACAGCTGTACTATTTGTTTGTAACGCAGTGTTTTCCAGAAGTGGTCACACTCAGTTCAGTTATGTCTTTTCTGCCTTAAGGTTGATTTCCACTGACGCGTTTTTGGCTACGCACGTTAACGCACGTACATTTTAATCACGTAAATAAAATAGAGGCAAGATAAAAAGTGCTGAGCTTAAACGAGAAGTTGAGCGAGGTTCAACTTTTACGCTTACTAGCGACCTTTCTTGCATTGCCTCTATTTTATTTGCGAACGTAAATTTTTCGCACGTACGCACGTAAAAATTACGCGACATTGGAAATCAACCCTTACTCACTGTTTTCCCACCTTCGAATTTATTATATCTAGACTGTCAGGTTGGTGAGAAGTCTTTTACATTGCAGTAACAATAACTAGGGCCTATTTGCACAAAATTAAGCAATCCAGTTCAGGAAGTGAACTGAGAACCAAGGCAGTTGAAATTCTACAAGTCGCTGATTGGCTAACATGACTGTTTAGCTGCTGTATTGTTATTGGTTGTCTCTGTTTAAGAGGATCTTACTGAAGTCGCACAGTGATTCTCATAAATCGTCTCTTTGACCTTGTACTTGTTTTATTTTGGAAATATGTGGATAATTTCGTTATCATGAACAAGCGTGAGGTCAAGATGGATGGATATCTGCAAAGTTCTTTTTTGCGTTCTTATTAACCGAGACCTCAGATAAAGTCGAAGTCAATCAGAACGCATAAAAAGAAGGACAACAACAACAATGTATTAATTGAAAGAAATATAAAGGTTACAATACTTCATGTCCTGCAAATAGCTACAATGCTAATCTAGGCAGGACAAGACTTTAACTAAAGGCGTTATTAAATTACATAAGAAAAAAGAAAAGAAGAAATACAAAAACATACAGAAAGAAACACCTTACATATCAATTCAAGTACAAGGGATTTTGTTATTTGAAAAAGACTAAAATTACAACTGGAGGTATATACAACATATCAGGTTAACTTCACAAAATATTCTATTAAAAAATTAACATTCAAATAATTATCTTCATTACCTAGAACATTAAGGAGTAGTGATTTAATTTTTTTACGAAAATTAGAAACGTTGAGAGTCTTAACAGAAAGTGGAATAGAATTCCAAATAGACACACCGATTTTAGTAAAAGATTTTTTCATTTTTTCAGTTCTAGAGAATTTGACAGAGAAGCATTCTTTTGCAGATAATCGCGTATTATAATGATGTTCTGTATTGATTTTCGCAAACTTAGAGGAGCCAATATACAGCCATCTTGACCAAACGAGCTTGTTCAATAGGGGTTTTATTATATGGCCAAAAAAAGAACTTTTTCTTGCGGTATCAAAGATGAGCCTATCTTACCCGCTCGGGTAGCCAATCAGAACGCAGGATTCACTTCATTTTGCCCCCTCAGGTAGCCAATCAGACGCAGGATTCACTTCATCTTTCCCGCTCGCGGATTCAACTATATTATAATAATGTCAGATTCATTTCATCTTGCCCGCTCGGGTAGCCAATCAGAACGCAGGATTCACTTTATCTTGCCCCTCGGGTAGCCAATCAGAACGCAGGATTCACTTTATCTTGCCCGCTTGGGTAGTCAATCAGAACGCAGGATTCACTTCATCTTGCCCACTCGCAGATTCAACTATATTATAATAATGTCAGTAATTGACCACCCTGCTTGACTGTAGTTTATGACTGTCAACTTTTCCACTTCCAGGCAACGATGGCTCGATGAAGAAGCAGATAGAAGGGTAAGGTCTCAAATTACACTTGTAGCTTCGTCTCTAATTTTAACGTAGTGAAATACATTTTCATTTCACGTCTGTTTAACTAGATTCGAGAATTAGAAGAACGTCGCAGAGCAGAGAATCTTCACCGACGAGACAGAAGGTACGTTTCATGTTTTGTCAGGATCTCAGTTATTCAAGGGAGGGATAAAACTCTTTTGTAATGCTATCACAATTTTGAGTTGTTTTATTCAGCTGGTAGCCAAACCCACCTTTTTACAATGAGGGCTAAGAGTGTTAGGAGCTCTTCAATTTCGTGCCTCACCCGTCTATGGGCCCCACCCCCACCCCCTGGCACTCTTTCAGGATGTTTTACGCGCTCTTCCGGATAGAGGATCTTATTTGTAAACCATTGACTATTCTTTTGACTACTCATTTATAGTAAAGTTAACCAGGAGTGCAGATTAAGTAAGGGGTTGGAGCCCGGGAATATGGAATATTGAAATTTTATTGGGTAACAGCAGAGCATATTTTATAGTTGGTAGTACTGAATAGGACTCTTGTTGACAGTAACTGACGTTTTGACAACATGTGCGGTAGTCATTCAGGTCAATAACCAGAGTTTATACTATCAGCTAACGTGATACGACACACTTTGACTCTGAAGATGACTACCGCACAGGTTGTCGAAACGTCAGTCACTGACAACAACGGCCCTATTCAGGATTACGTTCACCCGGACGATCATGCCGAACCTACTAATGAAATAACTTCTGGATTCAACCTTTCACAGTTTTAAAGCACATTCCTTTGCGCAGTAGGGTTAGCACGGCCATGTGTAGTGTAGCTAGAGTCGATTTATACTCAATCTAAACAGCGCTCTTTTGTTTTCATTTTAGCTCAGACGTTCTACTGTCCAGGCGATTGATATCAGAGACAGAAGAAGCTATTAGATCACGATTACAACCTCTTCTAGATCGTGCTGAGGTATAGAAGTCACAATATTGTATGTTTTTGAAAGTTAATCAATCAAACGACAAACACCGTACGTTACAGTTTTCGCAAGGTGTCTTACCCTAAGCCTCTAGACGTCTCCATGACTACCAACTTTATAGGCCTTTAGAATCACTCAAAACTATGCCATAGCGGTGAAACCGCCCTTGTCTGTGTTCAAAACGGCATTCTGCTTGCCACTGATGATCGTCTCTGTGCATTCAGAGCTTTAAATAGCTTTATGCAGAGTGTTCACTCGGCATCGGAGAACGGAGAATTTTCCGTTTACTACGCATGGCTCTCCGGCAAACGTTCGGTAGCCTATGACTGTTTTATATTCAGACGTGGAGCCTCTTTCAAAATATTCTCCTGTAAAGTTACGCCTTTCTCCTGCTACTAGAATTCTCAATGAAAACCCTGATTCACATAAGTGTACACTATAAACTATGCTTAAATTTACAGAGCTATGCGTCGCAGTTAAATGAGCCATTCGTTGTTATACAGAGCTATACACNAGTAGGGTTAGCACGGCCATGTGTAGTGTAGCTAGAGTCGATTTATACTCAATCTAAACAGCGCTCTTTTGTTTTCATTTTAGCTCAGACGTTCTACTGTCCAGGCGATTGATATCAGAGACAGAAGAAGCCATTAGATCACGATTACAACCTCTTCTAGATCGTGCTGAGGTATAGAAGTCACAATATTGTATGTTTTTGAAAGTTAATCAATCAAACGACACACACGGTACATTACAGTTTTCTCAAGGTGTCTTACCCTAAGTCTCTAGACGTCTCCATGACTACCAACTTTATAGGCCTTTATAGGCCTTTATGCGCATTCGATCATATCTTTATCGCATGTTAGACTGCGCAATATAAGAAATAAACATTATTATTATTACAATCACTCAAAACGATGCCATAGCCACTAAACCGCCCTTATTTGTGTTCAAAACGGCATTCTGCTTGCCACTGATAGTCGTCACCGTGCATTCAGAGCTTTAAACAGCTTTGTACAGGTTGTTCATTCGGCATCGGAGGTCGGAGAATTCTCCGTTTACTACGCATGATACTCCGGCAAACGTTCGGTAGCCTATGACTATTTTATATTCAGACGTGGAGCCTCTTTCAAAATATTCTCCTGTAACGTTACACCTTTCTCCTGCCACTAGAATTCTCAATGAAAACCCTGATTGATATAAGTTTATACTATAAACTATACTTAAATTTACAGAGCTATGCGTTGCAGTTAAATGAACCATACGTTTTTATACAGAACTATACACTGCTGTACACCGCCTTAAAGAGCAGTACATTGCTATAAACAGTTATGACAGCTATCCTAAGCTGAAGACTGCTATGTAGTCGTAAAGAGTTGTAATGAGCGACACTCCTAAATGCAACGCTTTAAAAACTAAAAACTTTTATTTCAATTCATTATATACAGGAGATAGCAGACGCGGATGGCAGACGAGAAGTCGTGCATAAGAAATCACTGCATCATCAGTTGGGGAAACTTGCGTCGGAAACAGTAAGTGTATCTCGCCACACCCCCTTAATAATTTAATTATCCGACTGATCCCCCTGACCCAGACTATCTTTTAGTGTACCATCTGTTCTGAGAACAAATTTATTAAGCGTTAATCTCAGTGAGAAGCCAGCATTTACAGGTAACAGTGCACTCAACATTGTCCTCTGACGTTATACATTTTGCTGTGTTGTCCACTCAGAGACTTTTGGCGGGAAACATGTCATGTGACCTGAAAGTAACCAATGCCAGCTCGAGAAAAGGGAAAAGTCATATAAGTGACTGGGCAACTATTTATGCCAAATAAATTGAGATGCCTCGCACGTAATAAGTTAATAGACAGACTGTGGCTGAATTATGTCTCAACAGACAATGAATCAAGCTGACATTTTGGCTGAAAAGGTACTTGACGACGTTTTAGAGGAAACGGTGATTGAAATGCAGAGGTGAGTGATCAGTATGCAATTCTCCTTATAATTTTTTAATGATTACAAAATAAAAAGAAAGGAAAGAAGCAGATTGGGCAGCTTAATAGCACACACCCATGGCTTACAGAATTGTCATCACCACTTACATGCAGTGTTTTACTAAAAGTGGCATTACTTTGGTTGAGCAGTGAGTATAGGGGGAGGGGTGGTGGGGGTCAGTCTACAGAAAAGTGCTTAGATGTGTCATGCGGCGAGAAGGACCCGTTTTTTGTTTATAATATAGACCAAATTTCTGCCTATACAAGAAGCACTGATGAAAGTACTGTGAGAGCAAAGTGAGCTTCCGAACGATGGTTTTTGCAAAAAAAAAAAAGGATAGAAGATGGCGAAGATGTCTAAATCCAAGGACAGAGAACACAGGAAAAGGGAAACGGAAGCGGAAAGAAGTAAACAGTATATGTGATTGTTAGACTAAATAATATTGAGCTCTATTACACGAGGATCAAGCGAAGAAGAGGAGCTCAAACTATAACCTTTTTTTCAGTGGTTTCCACATTATTCCACAGCATTCAGTAGTTTTCCTTAGGCTAGGGTGAGCAGGTAAGGAAAAATGTTAAAAAAAAATTTTTTCTCACTTTTGTGTAGGCTGGAGGTGGAAGAAGAGGCTGAAATTGAAGCTGATAACTTACAAAACAGTTCCACTTTAGAAAATATTCTTCAGAGACTACAAAATTTTGAGGTACATTGACATACGGTATTTTTTACCAACTCATGCAGAGACACAGAGGCACTCATGATCAGCTAGGCAGTGTGTATCAGTTGGGCCTGGAGGTTTCAAATAAACGCAAGAATATGCAAATGTTCCCGTCTCGACTGACTGCCCTCTGCTATCCAAAGATAAATTAAGATTGAGTGGTCATCCTAGGAGCCTCCAACGTGAAGTGTTTAGGGAACACTTTGAATAGCATTTGTATGGAGGGGACGGATGAGCAAGTAGACTGCTGTAAGAAAACTAGTACCCCTTTTTTCCAGGGAAAAATCAAGACAAACCTTTGTTATTAAAGTTGCTTTGTCTCTCTTCCTCTTTCCCAATCCCTTCGTCATTAAAAAGGCAATATCACCAAGTTAAACTACCACTTGATAATTCAACGGGCGTTTACATCACATTTAAACACTTGGTCAATAGCACTTGAGCTTAGGTTCAGTGAAGCAGTGACAGAGGAGGGCAACAATCTCCTCATTAACAAGGAAGTTTCTATAGCTACCGAGTTAACGTTCTTTAGTTGTCCTCTTTGGTGCTCTATAAAGCAAGCACCTCTCTTAAGACACATATTGCCAATTTCTGCTGTTTTTTTTTCTCTTTTTGAAAAACTTGTATTCCATCGAAGGCCTTCCTTATGAGGAGACATTAGGTTTTAGAAAATTAGTTACTGATAATAAATCTTCTGTTGTTCATAGAAAGTCGAGGAGGAAATAAGGCGCCACTGGGTTCATGTTAAATATTCAGATGTAGAAAAACCCACAGAAAGTCTTTCTTCAGGTATGTCTGTGTAGCCTCGTAGAATTTCTCTTCAAAAGCTTTGTTATATTAGGCCTGGTTACAGCAACAGAGGCCGGAATTGGATCATGATCACAAGGATTGAAGTAGATATTTCTTGTCAATCTGGCAAGCTAGTTACCAGCGTCAGTGTGCGTAAAGCCGGTCTTGTATGGCCATATACACCTGGGTAGTACTATTCGTGACTGTGTTGTGGCTATGCTGGGCCATGAAGGACTATTAAGTATAGTATAGCCCTGTGAGCTGTGTATAGCGAGGTCTTTCTATTCATAGCCACATACGGCTGTTAAGAGATGTGGGCTACGCTCAATCAAACGACTATATGATGGTTATATCAAGTTACTAAGTAGACTTGCTATGACTCTGCTTAGCCTGCTTAACCCTTTAAGCCCCAAGAGTGATCAGCATCAAATTTCTCCTTGTAATATTAATGCTTTGCAAAACAGAGTGGTCATGAGAATTACAGACATGATCACGCAAGATAAATTTGCTAAATATTTTCTCAACATCTCCACACTACTTCTGTAGGAACTGAATAGGGGCAACAAATGAGAATTCAAATTTTGATCGTAGGGTTTAAAGGGGTTAAAGGTGAAAGTAGTGTCACTGACCAAATCATTTTATATCCCTGTTGTTACAGTAGATTTGTCAGTCTTACATTGATTTAGTTTTCCCAGACAACTAAATCAATATAACTGATTAACAACTAATTCAACTTCTCACAGACGATTCTGTTTGATTGCAGCAGAGACACGACATTCTCGGCGAGCCAAAGTTCCCAAACCTATCGTGTTTTCCAAACCCGATGGGACTGAGAGCCATCGTTTAAAGTCGGAAAATAGCCGAGGAATTGCCGAACAGGGTCGAGAGATGGATAGGAGGCCGCTAAAATTACTGGAGGAAATCAGCGACACAAGCAGCTTTTCTTCGCTTGTGGAACGTGAGTTTACTTACCTTACTATATACTTTGTTTTAGTTAGATCAAGTATATTTTTTCTACCAGACAGACCCGCGTCACCCGCCTCTAATGGAATCCTAAAATGGGTGGACCCGACTCCAGATACGTTTCTAAAAGCTGGTCAGCTATTTTAATAAGTTACACGTTTCTCTTATAATGCCGGCCCTATATGATCTCTTGACACTACCAGCAGCAGTCGTGATGGTCACCGACTGAACTTTTTTTTAATTAGCCATATTGAAGTTGAGTGTTAGACTGGGTCGGTGATGTGTCAAATTGCACTTTGGACTGTTTAAGTGACGCTTTCACTTATTACATAGGCTACACATAGGAAACTGAGTCAATATGGTGTTTAAGCAGCAAAGTTTTTGAGTGATACACGCCAACCGAAAGTGAACGTTTTTCTCTTGTAATAGGCAGTTTAAGCAACAACGCTTTTGAGCGACGCACGCCAACCGGAAGTGAACTTTTTCTTCCCTTTTAATTTACCTTGAGGCTACCAAATTTGTATTGCTAAGTGTCTTACTCTTAAAGAGACAATTTTCCCAAGAATTTGTTCAAAATCTCTGCCGACGAGTGCAAAAAGTCCAATTTCGGTTAACGTGCGTCGCTCAAAAACATCTTTGCTTAAGTTCCCTAATATATCTTGACGCTATCAAATTTGTTTTGCTAAGTGTCTTTACTCTTAAAGACACGTTTTGCCAGGAATTTGTTCAAAATCACGGGTGAAGAAAACGTGGTTGCCTAAAGTCCCTATATTTGCCCCGCAAAACAGTTGCATACTGCAATTCGACACAGCGATCCAATCTATAGCGTTCTCTCGCTGCAACTAATAACCCGTCCCGTGGAGTTCGTCTCTACCTACCATTCTTTAGTCCTCTTCGTCAGCTCCTCCTTGCCTATTCCAGTCGTTCAGGCCCCAGTTGTTCAAAAGTTGGATAGCGCTATCATCTGGATAAATCACTATCCAACGCACGTTACGGATGAGTGCTGGGGAAACCAATTACTGGATAGTGATTTATTTGATGGATCGGGTTATCCACCTTTTTAGCAGCTGGGGCCAGAACATCTCCTTTCTCTGAACGCGTGGAACAGAACAGAACAGTTTATAGCTCTTCGTAAGTCTAGAAACTCTATTAAAAGCGCTTTGTTAAGCCTGTCTCAGAGGTGTTTGGCCAAGTTACTTTAAATTACCAACATACACTGACGACTGAACATCTCTCTTGTCTACCAGCATCAACTGAAGATCGTTCATCAACTCAAAGCTCCTTCAATAAAGGCACTCAGCTCGGAGGGCCCTCACGTAGCCGACCCCTCGCGAGTAGTGCTCGACCTACAGTGAAGCTTAGTGTACCTGAGGAGATGAGAGCCAGTGTGGCGTCATACAGAAACCGGTTTAACAAGTATTTGAGGGACACTGCTACTCATGAACAGGGCAAGTTTGACCCCTGGGGACTGGTGGATAGGTAAGTCACTTTACTTTAATAAAAGCTACGACACAGTTGAACCTCCATTAAGCGACCACGCGCGAGGAAGGAACAACTGGCCGTTTAATAAACAGTTACCGAAACAAAGTCAGATTAGCCTGCGTAGCAGGTGCCGAAAGGGTAGGGGATAGGGAGGAAGGGAAAAAGAGAAGGGGATTGGGGAGAGAGGGTCAATGTCATAGTGTAACTGCAAAGGCGAAAATGTCATACCGGTAGTTGCAACTTACTCTCAAGCTTCGTTTGTTTTAACTGAGTACTAGAAAGAATATGAGCTGGTGACCCGTATGGGGTTTTATTTAATGGGTTTTAAAGAAGTGTTAATGTGACTCAATTTTCAAATACAGTCAAAACATGTAAGCTAGATTTTACTCTTTACGAGCGTTTTATGGGGATGTAAAACAATACAAAAGCTCTGGCACCTGTTTAGACTCCTATAAAACGAGCTGGTAAAAATAAGTAAGTAATTAATTAATACTGATAATCATAATAATAATACAGAGCTGTTGCCCGATCCAAAATTGTCTAGTGCTGTTTTGTACTCGAACACCTACCTTGTCCGCTCTATAATCTCTTTGTGTTTTGGTGTATTTACTTTCTTTTGAAAATATAATTTTCAAACTTAAAATGGAGCACAAAATTATTGATATTAATTTTTAGAGGGACACCCCCTCTTAAAGCACCTGGTCTTATGTAAAATAGGGTGGTAACGGAACAGAAATAGGGCGCACTCCTCAAAGCCAATTACAAGTCTCTTGGAGAAACGTTTTTCCAACTGAACGAGAGAGGAAGCATGTGATTACAAGTGAATTTCGCTTTGTTTTAGGATCAGTGAGGATTTGTTAGAAGAAGCCCTACATGAAGTTGGTAATGAACTTGAACACGTGTGCGATGATTACGCAGAAGCTTTGTACAACGAAGAATTTGTTTCTGTCAGCACAGATACGTGATGTTCTTTCACATTCTTAAGCTTGTTGGGTAGTCTCTTTTTATGCGACACAAGTGCTACCAGTTTGTGTTTCACCTCATCACCTTGCGTATCATCGAAGCGGATGCAGCTATGAAAACAGTAACGATCACCTCGTCCTCAGTTACTATCACCAGGTTTCTGTCAAACGAAAAGAGTTGACAATTCCGGAAAACGGATGGGAAAGACTGTCCCCTGAGGAGGGGTGGTAGGGGAGGAGTAGTATTTTGACATGGATTTTTTGTTGTCGCGGCCAGGAATTTGACTACGGGTTAGGGTTATCCGTTTTCTACAATCCCCCTTATACCTCCCCCCACCCTAATCCTGATGTATATACTAGAAGAAATTTCAAGGTGGTTTCTAATCCTTAAAGTTACCTCGACTTTCTTTGGCTTTTACCCTTTGCTGATGTTTTGTGATTTTCTTAGTCAATCCTTCTTACATTCGTTACTAATTGCCATGTCTCCAAGGTCATATTGTCATTATTAAGTTTTAAAAATAATGTCTTTGTTAGAGTGTACAATAGTCAGTGCGCGTATATGTCGATAAGAGAAACCAAAATAGAAACAAGCTTTAAGTACACTGTAGTGAATTATTACCGTCACACGCTAAGACTATAGATCTGGGCCGAGTTGTTCAAAGCTGGTTCAAAATGACCCAGGGTTAGAGCGAAATTTGGATTCACAAATGAAACCTTAAAAAGCAAACTCAGTATAATTTATTTTGTCTACAATTTGATGATTGGGTGCTCTAAAACGGAAAGAGGAAATTATCTGAGAAAATGCTTTCGACCTAAAGAAAATGAATACTAGCTTAAAATTTAACCTCGGGTTAGCGCTACTCGGCCTTTAAACAACTAGGACTTGTAGATTTTTAGACTACTGTATTGATTCCTCTTCTATGATGAGATTCATTCAAGTTACCTACCCTTAAGAATTTAGTGATAATGGGCTGTCAATGGGGTTAATGGTTTGCCGCAAAAAACCAAACATTTCAGTTAGCAGTTGCAAAAATAAAAAAAATATAGGGAAATTAATCGTTATAATCTTTTCTTGTCACTATTTGTCATTTTGAAAAGAAATTAATCTTTAAATAGCCTTTAAAAAGACAAACAATGAGAGATCGGAACGGTGAATCCCATCACCCCATTGACATCTTAATATGGGGGATTCTAAATCATCAAGAAATCACCATTAAAAAATACAAGGAAGTATAACAGGTCCTACGGATTCATCAGAGCTTATTTATTTACCTTATTTGCTTGTTTTCTACGTGAGCGTGTGACGACACTGCGTAACGAACGGGTTCATAGGGAAAGCGAAACCTAACCTTAGGTTAATGTGGAGAAAAAATAAAGTGATTTTGTGCTACATTTGATGTTTGTTGTGTCGTTTTGAAGCGATGGCTTGTGTAATCCTGTCCTGACCTCCCTTTCAAGGTCTATAGGCCACACACCGACTTTGGGGGTCTCTCTAGGTAGGAATCTGAACTGCGGACTGGTCACGGTCTTACACATTCCCCAGTGGGCAGAAATAGGGAACTTAAGCAACGGCGTTTTTGAGCGACGCACGCCAACCGGAATTAAGGCTTTTTCTGTTTTAATTTGTCTCGAAGCTGCCAAGTTTGGATTGTTAAGTGTCTTTACTCTTAAGAGACGATTTGCCTGAACGTTTGGGCAAAACCACTGCTCAAGAATAAAAGAAGTCCTCTTCCGGTTGACTTGCGTCGCTCAAAAACCTCTTTATAATGTTAAATTGTAATCCCTTACTTAAACGTCTGTGACTTGCATAACAATTCCTTGCCTTAAACCTCGTATTTGGACTTATATTTTCAGTGCTTTATTTTTCTTTTTTTTTTTAATTTGTCTTTTTATCTTTGGAATGTAATCTGTCCGAGTAACGGTTTTTACAGCGTCTTTATTTTAGTATGTTTTCCGATTATTTGATGCATGAATAATTTAAGTGGTGAAGTGTTATTTAAGGAGGCTCGAAAAAATAATTTTCTTCTGACGGTAGTCGCCGGCGTAAACCTTATAGCAGTAGACTATTCTACGGTAAGTTCAGCTGTATGACCAGTATTTTGCGAGTTATAGATGTAGATGGTAATGAAAGTCACTTTACAGAGTTTACTCATCAAGGTTTCATCCTGTGATAGGAATTTTAAAATGTTTCCTGGCAGAAGAATTGAATCTACCAAACCAAATAAAATGTGTTATTGCAGGAGGTGTGCGTGATATAGCCTAATTTTTCAGATGCTTACCGGAACAGCTTGGTAGTGCAGTGGCGTTGGAGACAGTTTCGCATATGAGAGGCCCGGGTTCAATTCTTGGCGATAAACTTTTTTTTTTGAGTCAATAATTTAAATAACAGCTAAAATTTATTTCTTTTCTTGTTGGTTGATAAATTTGACATTGAATGCTGAAATCAGGGTTGCTGATGGCCAGTCCGATTAGAGGATTTTGTTATTCTTTTTATGTGGGATGATTTGGTATGATTTGGCAATGATTCAGTAAAGTAATTTTGTATGTCCAGGCAATGATCAGGCATGCATGGAAATTGTTAGATTTGATCAGGTATCACGTATGATCGGGTAAGTAAAAGCGCTGTGCTTTTTTTATAAGTCATATATTAAAATTTTTCCGTTGCTTGACGTATCAACGTGGTAGTGCAGTGGAGAGTGGGATTGTAGTATGCACCCGCAACGGTGCGATTCGGGGTTGCTGTTGAAGACTCTAAATCTCGATTCTTTTTTTCTTTGTTGTTGTTTTTTAAAAATTATCGATGACAATGATGAGACAACATTTTAATATTTTTACGTCACTCTATCTTACACAAAAGCGTTTCCAGTAAGGGCAGATACATGTATTCAGGGTTTAAAAAAAGTTTTACTGGAAGGTTTTTAATAAAACAAGGTCAGCGCCATACCACTTTTTTAAACGCGGGTGCCCACTTTCACAACGGGGGATGGAAGACTTTGGGTAGGGTTCATGACAAATCAATAGCACCCCATGTTTCGTAAGTTTAAAAGAAAGCTGACCTTCCCTTTCGAAACATTTATCAACCTTATGAAAGTCAGGAACAAAGCAATATTGATGTGATCGTGAAGTCGAGCGTGCTTCTCAGTTATGAATTTTAGACCATGCTCACACGATAATGGTGATTTCGATCGGCGCGACTTCTGCAACGGAACGAAGCTGCGCCGCGCCGATCTTTAAAGTGGAGGGTAACATATCGGATAGGTTCTCGCAGTATATCGGATTATATTTCGTTTCGGCACGAAAAACTATCCAATATTGTGTGAACAAATATAGCCTTAAAGAGGTTGGGTCGGCAAGACTTTCTTACTTCTTGAATATGAGCCCGGCAGCAGTGTTTGTTGTAATTGAAAGCTTCCAAAAGTGGTCCTTAAAGTTCCACCACTGACTGGAAATAGCAAAACGAAGATTAAGTTTTCTTTTTTAAGCTAAATTTGAACAACAGTTCGAAACTGGTACGCTGTATAACGAGATGACACGAAATTACAATTGGGTAATCAAATTTTTCCTGTTTACTGTTGTGTCGCCTTGGTAGTGTAGAGGTGATGGGGAAGGTTAAGTTTTCAAGCCCGGGCTCGATTCTCGGTTGTAACTTTTTTGTTTGTTTGTTTGTTTTTTTTGTAAGGACAGACTTTATCAGAGTGTCTTTGAAATGGCATTGACCAATTATGAAAACAAAATTTTCATAGTGACAGCTACGAGTTCTTAACAGCATTTTCAGTTATAACTCGCTAGTCAGGGACATTGATTTCAAAAATGACAGTAGAAAAGACGCAGGTGGAGAGCCACCTAATATTCAAATACTGCATTGTTGATCCTAAAAAGGGAGGGGCACCAAGACTTGAACTCTTATTATCCAGTAACAGTGTTTGTATTAATTGAAAACCACCAAAAAGGAACTGGCCTTGCTAAACTTTACTCAAAACATGTAAAAGAGTGGCTTAGTTGACTTAAAGCCTGTTAACATGGAGATAGGGGACCCCAGTTAGGTGAGGTAACCCGCCAGTCCATATAATCTCTCATTTTAATTTGATCCTCCATGTAAACAGGTCATTAGGAAGGTGGAAAAAATGAAAAAGGCAGGGCCAATGTTTTCTAACCTTCAAGAAGGTAAAGCTTTTTTTTTACTCAATATGAATATGAACTAAGGCAAAGAGTTCTGAAAAACGCAAGTAACACTCTCTATTACAAAAAGATGCTAAATTGTATTTGTATAATTAAATTTCTTCCCGTGTCTGTTGTGTTGGCGTGATAGTGTAGTGGTAAGGGGACCAGTTAAGTACGTGAACCCGGGTTCGAGTTTTGTTTGCAGAATTTTTAATTTGTTTTTGGCAGGGAAAGGGTTTTTTTTCTCTTAAAAAAGGAATTTGAATGTCAAAATCTTAACGGAATTTTTCCGTTATAACCCGCTACTCATTTTAAGCGTGGCTCCAATGTTTACAGCGGAGAAATACTTTATAAGTTAAGGTTCACAAAATTGCACCCACGTTTTTACGAGTAAGTTTAAAAAACGCTGATCCTCCCTTATGAGACATTTATCATCCTTCGGATATAAACAAATTTAGTGGCCTGTTTACATGGAGGTAGTGGACCCCAGGTAGATGAGGTAACCCGCCTGTCTGTATTATAATCTCTCATTTTGATTTGATCACGTTTACATGATAGGTGGGTTGACCTGCCACAAGTTACCTCACCTACCTGGGGTCCCCCACCTCCAAGCAAACAGGCCCTTTGGAAGGCAGGGCCGAAAGAACTACCGAAAAGATTTTTCGAAAACTCGAAGAAAGCTGATTTCTGCTTCTTTCAAATAAGACGTTTGCGCCGTGCTTAAGATGCGCCTTTTATTTTTCTATAAGACAAAGAGTTCGGAAAATAGCCAGTACCTCTATTACAAAAAGATGCTAAATTGTATTTGTATAAGTAAATTTCTTCCAGTTTCTGTTGTGTTG